AGAATATACAATATGTCAGTATCCTAGAAATGAGAATATACAACATGTCAGTATCCTTGAAATGAGAATATACAATATGTCAGTATCCTAGAAATGGGAATATACAACATGTCAGTATCCTTGAAATGAGAATATACAATATGTCAGTATCCTAGAAATGAGAATATACGACATGTCAGTATCCTAGAAATGTGAATATACGACATGTCAGTATCCTAGAAATGGGAATATACAACATGACAGTATCCTAGAAATGTGAATATACGACATGTCAGTATCCTAGAAATGGGAATATAAGACATGTCAGTATCCTAAAAATGAGAATATACAACATGTCAGTATCCTAGAAATGAGAATATACAAATTACAACATGTGAGCATAGTTTGGTAAAAATTATTCATAATAAATTGCATGAAACCAGACAAAGTGATTTTTATAGTATAGGACATTTAAACAGAACCTTAGGTGACTTCAAAAATGAGTTTGCTGTCAATAAATTTGTGATAGAGTTTGATTTTAATAATATTTTTTGTCCTTTTTGTAATCTTGAATTCACAATAAGTGTGTTTATATTGTTTATTGTACACAAAAAATGGATGGGCTTATTTTAAATATGATTAATTACATAATTCTTACCTTAAATTGCAAGGAATTATAAAATTATGTGATAAGTATTTTAATATCGAACATCATTCATTACAGCACATAAGTATATGTTGGCCTTACATTTTATTAGAATATTCTAAAAATGGGGACAGGACGTATCAGTGGTTCTTAGACTGACAAACAGAATTGAAAGATAATAGTTGCATACACAATCCTATATACCTACCATTTTGTCTAGAAAGGTTACTTTCCCATTGGTCTTCATGATAATTAGATTTGAAGCATAACTGCACAAAGATTTCTCCTGTTCAACCCCAGTTTGAATCTCATCACTGGTTGTTTGCACTGCCTCTTCTATAACTGTCTTCATTAGAGAAATACAGCCGAGGTTGAGGATGAGTGTGCTGACGATCTCGGTCTCCGTCACAATCACGTAATACGGGATGACGCCTGCAGGACAAATGGCACAACAGTGGCACACGGCATTAATCTGTGAGCTTTCTTTGCTTTACAAGTAGGTGACTCGCATCATGCAAAATTTGTCATACACTTTTGCAACAACTGATAAAGCATAAGGCATGAAGCAACTTATTCAATAGAGAGTAATATTTGCAAGTATTTTTTAAGCCATTAATAAGCTCCTTATATCTGTTTAGAAGTATACTACACAGAAAGATAAATTGAACTTATTACAAAACAACAAATTGTATTATGCAAGAGTATAAATTTTCAGGCAGAATTGCAGAGACAGGGAAACCACTAATAAGAAACAAGCTAAACTAGACAAGAAATTCTACAAGCTGTAATATGGCAGGAGTCTGGCACCCTAGATATAGGTTGTGGTGATTATTGACCACCTTAAGGTGTCCTACCTAGAGGTTGTACAGTCGCAGTCTGTGGTGAAGTGGTAGTGAGGGCCACACTTGTAGTGGTTGTGGTTGTAGTGGTCAGCTCCTTACAATCTGGACAGTGTGTACAGAAATTAGCTGTTATATCTATCTGGTAATCATCAAAACACTCCCACTCTTTTCTGTCAAACCTTGGCGGCTCTGTCAGACTGACTCCAGCACACGTGGATGAAATTTCCTGGAGTTCACTTTCCAATTCATTTTTCAATTTTTCCTTGATGAATTTCTGTACTCTTCCATTGGCACAGGATTCTATGATTGTATTTTGAACTGTTGATTGATCACTTGTCAACAGGAATGTAGAAATTACATTGATTTGTCCCTACAAATAAAAGGGAAAATATCAATAAATTAATGCCTACAGAAAGGAAAGAAAAATTGTCAATACATATCTATAAACTCCTAAAACAAAAGGCTCAATGAGCCTGTATTTTTTTTGTCATTACTTTTCACTAGGCCATCTCACATCTGTGACCTTCATATTGAGTCAAGATCAAATTTACTTAAACAAAACTTGTTAGCAAGTAAGCTAAAACTACAGGTTGAGTTTGTACCTGGGTGACATTGAGGTAGAGCATGTAGATTGGGGAGGTCACAGACGCCTTATCACAGGTTTTGCTTTTTGTCAGTTCCTGTGGCAGCCCGACATGTACGTTGGCCAGTGATTGGTTGACAGCAGCTTGTAGGACTCCAGTACACTGGTCGGCTCCAATCTGGTTTCCAGTCAGCACTGCCTGGTAGTACAACGTCAGGTGGGAACGCACTACTGTCACAACACAAATACATTTAATCTTCCAGCTAACAAACATTCCTTGTCCAATTAAATAACTTTATATTTAGTCAAAAGCTATAAAATTATAATCAAGACCAAAGAAAGATTGTATATTCATGTAAAAAAATGTTTTAAACAAGTAATAAAGAATTTGTATTCATCTTAATTATATTTCCCAACCTAATTCAGAGCTTTCTAAATATGGTGTATTTCTGGAAGTATTGTAATGATAAGGACTACGACAACTGTCTACTACAACTATGCTCTTTGTTTGACACATACCGGGTGGTGGTGGTGGAGGCTGTGTCGAGGAACCAGCAGGCTGCAAGGTTGTCGTTACGTGGCTAGTAACTGTTGTGGTAGAAGTGGCAGATACCACTGTGATTGGTGATGTGACAGAAGACGACACAGCAGTGGATGTCACAGTAGTAGTAGACGGTTCCTCGGTACTAGAAGGTGTCTGTGTGTCGGAGGATGTTGTATCAGTGGACGATGTCGTGGTAGTGGAGAGAGGAGGAGTAGTCACTGGATCTGTTAAAACGCTGGTGGTAGTAATCAGTACTGTGGTTGTCTGATCAGTAGGAGCAGTACTGGTCAGCTGTTGTGTTGCTCCATCAGTGGTAGTGGCCACATTGGCTGCGGTGCTAGGTGGCACAGTGGCTGTTGTAAATGTACTAGGTGGCACAGTGGCTGTGGTAAATGTACTAGGTGGCACAGTGGCTGTTGTAAATGTACTAGGTGAAACAGTGGCTGTTTTAAATGTACTAGGTGGCACAGTGGCTGTTGTAAATGTACTAGGTGGCACAGTGGCTGTGGTACAGGTTGTGCACTTTGTACAAGTAGTTTCATCAGGACTGAGTACATAGCCACTATCACACACCCAGCCAAGCTTTCCTGGACCCGTCAAGTATGTTTGGGTCACCAAACACTCATTGAAATCATTCAGCAAGTTTACTAGTTTTTGTTGGATGAAGTCCTGTATGTCATTGCCACATTGAGCCACTACTCTGTTGCTTACAGTATTACTGCTCAGTTGGAACTTGATGTCAGCCGTCACTCTGGTCTGCAAATAAAAACATTAATCAGTGGTAAAAATTCAAACTGTTTTTCAAATCAACATTTTAAAATTCTTTTCTATATGTAACTCTTTTTTAAATGATATTTATGCAGGTAAAAGATCACACATCGATAGTGAATTTACAACTATTCAGAAGACTATAATGACACATTAGTTGTACATACTAATGTTGATCTGTTAATTGTTACCTCCAAGTAAGGTCAAGGGTGAGATTACCTGGTTAGCGACTTTAAGCTGATAAGGCACTTGCTGCATTTCTACACCTTTACAAGTTTTCTTTTTCATCTCCTGTGGTGACGACATGATGATTTGAAGATTTATCTTGAACACTGACTCGTTCAAACAGTTCAAATTGTTGGAAGTCTGACTTATGAATTCGGCTGAATATCCAATGAAGTACTTGCTTGGAACAGCTATAAAAAGTGAAAAACACTGAAAATAAACATCTTTTCAGAAACCATGAATGTCGGTCAGCAGTCATGATAATTTTGTAAACAATACTTAAGTCCCGACTACCTTAATCCCTACTTGTTAACAGAACTGCCTCTGTAAATGCTCACATCACTTTATCATTGTAGTATCTCTTCCTCAGTTACCAGATAAATCTAGAATATTTCTAACACTTGTGCCACATCAATTTTTCAAATATTTCAAATGAGTAACATAATTTTCTTTTATTATCAACAAATCTATTTTGACAGTAACATTTTGAAGATATTTTTAATATGAAGAAAGGATTGGAGCTAATTACTTTGGGGACCCTCTGTGGTGGTTATCGTTGACCGGGAAGGTGTAGAGGAAGGTCCATCAGTACTTGTCATTGATGTCTGTGACGCAGTTGTCAGTGGCACAGTGCTAGTTGCAGTGGATGAATCAATCTCCCCAGGAGTGGTAGGCTGGATACTTGTCTCCCCAGGAGTGGTAGGCTGGGTACTTTTCTCCCCAGGAGTGGTAGGATGGGTACTCGTCTCCATAGGAGAGGAAGGCTTGGTACTCGTCTCACCAGGAGTGGTAGGCATGGTTCTCGTCTCCCCAGGAGTTGTAGGCTTGGTACTCCTCTCCACAGTAGTGGTAGGCTGGGTCCTCGTCTCCATAGGAGGGGGAGGCTTGGTACTCGTCGCCCCAGGAGTGGTAGACTTGTCACTTGTCTCCCCAGGAGTGGTAGGCTGGGTACTCGTCTCCATAGGAGTGGTAGGCTTGGTACTCGTCTCCACAGTAGTGGTAGGCTTGGTACTTGTCTCTCCAGGAGTGGTAGGCTGGGTACTTGTCTCTCCAGGAGTGGTAGGCTGCGTACTTGTCTCTCCAGGAGTGGTAGGCTTGGTACTTGTCTCCCCAGGAGTGGTAGTTTGGGTACTAATCTCCTCAGGAGAGGTAGTTTGGGTACTAATCTCCCCAGTAGTGGTAGTTTGGGTAGTAATCTCCCGAGGAGAGGTAGTTTGGGTACTCATCTCCAGGGAAGTGGTAGATTGAGTACTTGTCTCCTCATCAGCGGTGGTTTGGTAATTGGTTTCTCTAGTTGTTGTGGATTCAGCAGTAGAACTAGTTTCCTTAGGGGTGGTAGACTGGGTACTGCTCTCACCAGGAGTACTTGGAGCACTGGTCTCCCGAGGAGTGGTGGAAGTGGTGCCTGATTCTGTGGTTGTTTTAGTAGTCTCTGGTCTGGGTGTGGTGCTGGTAGAGGTGGCAGATGACGTACCAGATACAATGGAATGTGACATTGTGGAGCTGTAACCTGCCGTGGTGCTAGATTCTGGAGACTCACTATCAGTTGGGGAAGGGGTTGTCACATCTGTACTGGGTAGGGGTGTTGTACCAGTCTGGCTCTCATTATAAATGCAGTCTAAAAAAAAAATGGCCGTTGGAATAACACCTTTACAAGTTTTATCAGTATCAATTTTCTTGAAATCATAAGTAAATATATCACATGAAGATCAATGACAACAAATTTTTCTGGTGATTTAAGATAGTGGGTAACCTGAGATATGTATACTACCTATTGAAGACTTGTAACTCCCCAAGTATAGAGGCACTGACAAATAGCACTTCCCACTAATGTCCTACATATTACACTTCATTCAGTAGTATTCAGACATACTTAACTAAATAATGTTCTAATCCTTAATCATAGAGTGATCATATAATGTCCCACCTAAGTCTTCCACACAGCAACGTGTGTGGTTAGAGTCAGAGTGAATGTCTAAGTGTAAACATGATTTATTTTATAACAATAATGAAATAAGTTCCATTAAATATTAATCAATCTTGTTGGTTCTGATGAAAGCATGCAGTAGGTCTTAATGTGGAAGGAAGCTGGAATACTCAAAGAAAACTACATATTCTGGTAGGTGACCCTATCCAATTGGGAAAACGGTGAAGGCAAGCATGATAACCAATGTACCACCTGACAAATGTGAATGTCTTACCCAAGTCTTCAACACATCGAGGCATATGGCCAGTGTCACAAACATTTTCAATGCCTGAGAACTGTAGGTGGAAGTTGGTATCACAGGTCCAGGACTGTGCCTTAGTAATGAGTTGAGGTGGGTGTAAGGTGACCGGAGGACAGGAGGTGGCCTGCAAGGTGCTCAGGTAGGAATTGCTGGTTGCTAAGAGCTGGCCTATAGCAGCAACACAGCTACAGGTAGAGTTCCTCAGGTCCAGGTCCAGGTAACCAGCACTCAAACTCTGGATCTGCAGACCCGAAACCATCTGTAGGGTCTGTAAGATAAATATACATGCAAATTACAGTACACTTAAACACTGTTGGATAAACATACAGGTAAGTTATAGTACATTGTAAACATACAGATTAGTTATAGTACATTGTAAACAACAGGTAAATTACAGTACATAATAAACATACCAGTAAGTTAAAGTACATTGTAAACATACAGGTAAGTTAGAGTACATTGTAAACATACAGGTAAGTTATAGTACATTGTAAACATACAGATTAGTTATAGTACATTGTAAACAACAGGTAAATTACAGTACATCATAAACATACCAGTAAGTTATAGTACATTGTAAACATACAGGTAAGTTAGAGTACATTGTAAACATACAGGTAAGTTATAGTACATTGTAAACATACAGATTAGTTATAGTACATTGTAAACAACAGGTAAATTACAGTACATAATAAACATACCAGTAAGTTAAAGTACATCGTAAACATACAGGTAAGTTATAGTACATTGTAAACATACAGGTAAGTTACAGAACATTGTAAACATACAGGTTAGTTATAGTACATTGTAAACATACAGGTAAGTTATAGTACCTGGTAAACATACAGGTAAGTTATAGTACATTGTAAACATACAGGTAAGTTACAGTACATTGTAAACATACAGGTAAGTTATAGTACATTGTAAACATACATGTAAATTACAGTACATCATAAACATACAGGTAAGTTATAGTTAGTACATTGTAAACATACAGGTAAGTTACAGTACATTGTAAACATACAGGTAAGTTATAGTTCATTGTAAACATACAGGTAAGTTACAATACATTGTAAACATACAGGAAAGTTACAGTGCATTGTAAACATACAGGTAAGTTATAGTACATTGTAAACATACAGGTAAGTTACAGTACATTGTAGACATACAGGTAAGTTACAGTACATTGTAAACATACAGGTAAGTTATAGTTAGTACATTGTAAACATACAGGTAAGTTATAGTACATTGTAATCATACAGGTGAGTGATAGTACATTGTAAACATACAGGTAAGTTATAGTACATTGTAAACAAACAGGTAAATTACAGTACATCATAAACATACCAGTAAGTGATAGTTAGTACATTGTAAACATACAGGTAAGTTAAAGTACATTGTAAACAAACAGGTAAATTACAGTACATCGTAAACATACCAGTAAGTTATAGTTAACACATTATTAAACATACAGGTTAGTTATAGTACATTGTAAACAAACAGGTAAATTACAGTACATCGTAAACATACAGGTAAGTTACAGTCAGTACATTGTAAACATATTGGTAAGTTACAGTCAGTACATTGTAAACATACAGGTAAGTTACAGTACATTGTAAACATACAGGTAAGTTAAAGTATATTGTATATATACAGGTAAGTTATAGTACATTGTAAACATACAGGTAAGTTAGAGTACATTGTAAACATACAGGTAAGTTACAGTACATTGTAAACATACAGGTAAGTTAAAGTATATTGTATATATACAGGTAAGTTATAGTACATTGTAAACATACAGGTAAGTTAGAGTACATTGTAAACATACAGGTAAGTTACAGTACATTGTAAACATACAGGTAAGTTACAGTCAGTACATTGTAAACATACAGGTAAGTTACAGTAAGTATATTGTAAACATACAGGTAAGTTACAGTACATTGTAAACATACAGGTAAGTTACAGTACATTGTAAACATACAGGTAAGTTATTGTATATTGTATATATACAGGTAAGTTATAGTACATTGTAAACATACAGGTAAGTTACAGTAAATTGTAAACATACAGGTAAGTTACAGTACATTGTAAACATACAGGTAAGTAACAATACATTGTAAACAACAGGTGAGTTACATTCAGTACATTGTAAACATACAGGTAAGTTACAGTACATTGTAAACTTACAGGTAAGTTATAGTCAGTACATTGTAAACATACAGGTAAGTTACAGTACATTATAAACATACAGGTAAGTTACAGTCAGTACATTGTACACATACAGGTAAATTACAGTACATTGTAAACATACAGGTAATTTACAGTACATTATAAACATACAGGTAAGTTATAGTACATTGTACACATTCAGGTAAATTACAGTACATCGTAAACATACAGGTAAGTTACAGTCAGTACATTATAAACATACAGGTAAGTTACAGTACATTANCATTGTAAACATACAGGTAAGTTATAGTACATTGTAAACAAACAGGTAAATTACAGTACATCATAAACATACCAGTAAGTGATAGTTAGTACATTGTAAACATACAGGTAAGTTATAGTACATTGTAAACATACAGGTTAGTTATAGTACATTGTAAACAAACAGGTAAATTACAGTACATCGTAAACATACCAGTAAGTTATAGCTAACACATTGTTAAACATACAGGTTAGTTATAGTACATTGTAAACAAACAGGTAAATTACAGTACATCGTAAACATACAGGTAAGTTACAGTCAGTACATTGTAAACATATAGGTAAGTTACAGTCAGTACATTGTAAACATACAGGTAAATTACAGTATATTGTAAATATACAGTTCGCGAACAGTTAACATACAGGTAAAATAAACAGTACAGTATTAGGTAAATCATACAGGTAAAATAAACTGTATAGTGTTAGGTAAAATATACAGGTAAGTTACAGCACCTTGTTAAGTTAAACATACAGGTAAATTATAGTGCACTATTGGGTAAAATATACAGGTAAGTTACAGCACATTGTTAAGTTAAACATATAGGTAAATTAGAGTTCATTATTAGGTAAAATATACCAGGTACAGGTAAATTACAGTACACACAGGTAGAAGTGGAGCTTACCGTTCTGTTGATTCTGCTTACACTGCGGACTTTGCTGACACCAAGGTCTAAAGTGGAATTTAAGTGAGGACAAGCTATACTTTTTATTTTTCTTCGTGCTGCCCACAGCTGTGAGTTACTATTGTCGGAGTAAAATTGAAAACATTCTGTGGGTATGGTAATAGCATCCTCCACATGGTACATCCCCCGAACTTCCAGCTGCAGTGTAACAGGTTCACGCTCAGTCGGGCTCACATGTGCTCTGCACTGCCATTTTCCCTGGTCTGTAAAAAATAAAGTAAAGCAGACTCACATATAATATCTTTGGTGATATGATACAGGTTAATCCTAGTATATAGAAGGTAATCATTTGATCCAACCGGAAAACTTTTCAAAAAGTGAATCGTTATAATGATCAAAACTTTGTATTCGTATCCTATTTGTCACTTTATTTTATTTGTGGGGTAATCCTTTTATACGACAAAGTTCAATCCTGTACAGACTAAAAAGGTTTATTTGTAGTTAATCATCAACTCCAAGTCTTTCTTCAAAAATTCTAGAAATAAGAAGAATGTTTTATTATAATCTAAAACAAGAGGCCCAATGGGCCTGCATCGCTCACCTGGTATAAAACTCGCACTTGTAACCTTAAAAGTGATCTAAAATCAAGCTACAGGCAAAATATCAGTATTTATGATTAAAATTCATTCAAAAGACCCTGTTATTTTTTTTTAAACATTTCACCCCTGTGATTGAAAGTCGAACAAAGTCATTATGTTGAACACATTGTATAGCCTTTCATCTCAGGATGCAACTTGCAAAGTATAAACATCCTGGGACCCATGGTTATTCAGAAGAGGTTGTTTAAAGATTTTAAACAAATTTGACCCCTGTGACCTTGAATATAAGTCAAAGTCATTCACTTTAACAAACATAGTAGTCCTTGATCCCAGCATATGCTACTAACTAAATATCAACATCCTGAGCCTTTTGGTTATTCAGAACAAGTTGTTGAAATATTTTAAACATATTTGCTCCTTGTGACCTTGAATATGATTCAAGGTCATACATTTAAACAAACTTGGTAGCCCTTGATCCTAGTATGCTACTGACTAAATATCATCACCCAGGGCATTTTGGTTATTCAGAAGAAGTTGTTTAAAGTTTTTAACATATTTGACCCCTGTGACCTTGAATATGGGTGAAGGTCATTCATTTGAACAAACTTTGTAGCCCTTCATCCCAGCATGCTACTGGCCAAATATCATCACCCAGGGCATTTTGGTTATTGAGAAGAAGTTGTTTAAAAGTTTTTTAATACAATTGACCCCTGTGACCTTGAATATACTTGAAGGTCATTCATTTGAATAAACTTGGTAGCCCTTCACCCAAGCATGCTAATGGCTAAATATCATCTCCCTGGGCACTTTGGTTATTGAGAAGAAGATGTTTAAAGTTTTTGACATATTTGACCCCTGTGACCTTGAAAATAGGTGAAGGTCATTAATTTTAACAAACTTTGTAGCCCTTTATCCAAGTTTGCTTCTGGCCAAATATCGACACCCTAGGCCTTTCGGTTATTAAGAAGAAGTCGTTTAAAGTAAAATATTGACGCCAGACGACGGACGACAGACGACGGACGACGGACGCCGCGCCATGGCAAAAGCTCACTTGGCACTTGGTTTAGTTCTAGGGGAGGCAACTCTTATCATGTTCACTTACATGCCAAGCTATGAGATCCACTTCAGTATCAATTTAGGAATATATACTTAAGTACATATAGGCAGACATTTAAATGCAGTAAAAGAGTTTGAAGATGAGATTACCTGTTAATGTATAACCAGGTGGTGTACAGGTGAAGGACAGTGTGGAATCTTTGATATATGGGGCCACACTCATAGCCAGTGACCCGTATAAAGGGGATTCAGGAGCAGTACAGGATAATGCTAAAAAAACAAAAGTTCATCACATCCTCCTATCAATTCCTTATGTGATTCACACAAATCCTCCACAATGACACCATCAATAAACAATGAAAATCTACTTCATATGGATTTGCAATCTGATTAAAATCATCTGTTACATGGCTCCGCCTGTTCAGGCGTAGTACGAAGTTAACGAAGCCATGTAACATGTGATTTTAATCAGATTGATGGATTCGACTTCTAGTATAAATGACGTGCACTAAAAGATACACTTATGTATTCTGTGTTGCTTAAATTTGGATCAATTTTCTCCACATTTAGAAATATAACACTGTTTTAAGATATATCAGTATTTGAATGAGATAACTACATGCCTCACATTTCAAATAAGTCTCATACTCACGATTACAAAATACATTCTGCCCATCCCAGACACCGTCCGCTCGACACACTCTCTGGGAGGTTCCATATAACAGGTAGCCACAGTAGCACTTGTATGTAGCCTCAGCCAAGTATGTTGTTGAACCAAAGTACACTTGTCCATTGTCTGGGTGCTGTAAAGGACCACAGTCCACCACTGTAACATAAACAGTATATGGTTACCATTGTCTGAAAGCTGTAAAGGACCACAGTCCACCACTGTAACATAAA